GCAGGAAGCCGATCCCAGCTCGGTGGTGCACTCCTCCACCCTAGTGAAGCCCCCTGTTCAGCTGCCGTCTGTCCACGCTGTTGGAGGTTTCCACTTTAGCTGTTCTGGTGGGTGGGAGTGGGGTCTCGCTGCAGCTTTAGCCTCCATCTCTCAGATGACTAATAACGTGAAGGAACCTGTAATGCACACCCATCCTTCTCGCGTGAAGCGGCTGTTCCAGTCTTTTCTCAGTGTTTGAAACTAGGTTATTCACTTTTCCACGTTAGTCTGTGGGAGTTCCACTATTTATTTTTGTGCTTGTCCTTTTTCCTTAGTTATCTTCTAAGTTCCTTGAGATTTTCTATCAGTTCTCTCTGGGGTTTTTAATATAAGGATGGGTGTGGCTCTGTCTCCACAGCAACGTCTCTGTTGACGTGAAGTGATTCTGCCAGGTTTGGTGTTCGATTTGGTTGTTCAGCAGCGTCTCTTACTTTTGTTTTTGGACTTGACCTTGCTCTTCTGCAGCGGTTGCAGGGTGGGTACAGGGTGTCCATTCCCACATGTCTCAGCCAACCTGGCATGCTCTCCTCGAGGCTGGAAGCAATCATAAGATTCCTAGTTAATTTCTGGAAGACTTAGGAGGATCTGAGTGTTCGTGCTAGGTGGTCTCTTCTAGAAGGTATTTATAGCCACTCAAATGGAACACTCTGTACTATCATCACCTTGTCTTTTTCTCCTCTCTGAAGTTTACGAGACAGTTCTCAGGAACCAGAGCCCAAGGGGCAGAAGGAAGAAACAGATACTTTCATTTGAAGATAAAGATGGTGAACATCCACAAAGAGCATCTGAGGCTTTTAAAATCTTGTCCCCCTTCCAGTTGCATCAGCCAGAAGCATTAGACGTTCCTGTTCTGCTTTGAAAGAGCACCTGCAGTGATGTCATCCTCGCTCTCTTCAATTCACTTGGAGGCAGAGGAAGGCTTCCCTGCCACCCGGACCCTCTCCTCAGACCCGACCCCTGGGTGCTACCCAGTGTCCCAGAAAGCACCCGTACTCGGGCTGACGGACAGGATCACCATCTCGAATCCCGAGAATTATCACAGCCAATGAATTCACTCCTTTCCAGTTGTTTGCTTTTATATTTGAGTTGATTCAACAATTTTTTTCTTATCTAAAAAGTCATACTTACTAAAAAGTAATACAGCACAGGAGCACAGAGAAAATCAAAATTGTCTGAAAATCCATTTCATAAAAATAATGACTATTAAAATCTCTCAGGTTTACTCGTGATCTTTTCTGTTTTTATTTTGGGGGATTCTATATAATCTCTATAAAAATGAAAGGGGAGGACTGGAGGAGGTGGGGAGGGAAAGTGAACAGTCTTAGGGTGCTGGTGTTGGTGGTCCTCTGTGCTTTTTCCAGACTGATCTCCACACGCCGTCACAGACCTTTAATGGTTCATAACTTTCATCGCACACGGCTCCTCCCTGCTGTGTGTGCAGTTCAGTGATGCTCTGCTGTTCTCCTCACGTTCCTGAGGAGCCTGAAGCCTTTTACACTAATAAGAGTCTACTTTCTGCTTGGTTCTCATTGGTGTGGAGAAGCTACTGACTGTTCACATTTATTATGTTTTAATTTGGCCCCTTTAAATTCCAAGCACTTCAGATCACCTCCCTGGGCGTGCAGGTTATCGGGGCGTACCATCAGGTAATGAACTTTTGCCTCCTTTCTGACACTCTATTTTGACTCCTGTTGCAGGTGCCAGTTTTATTCCCCTGCAAGGTGCAGGAGCAGGGCTGAGGCAGGCTCACCAGCCGCTTCTGGTTTCAATAGACACCCTTTCAGTGCTCCTCCATGAAAATGTGAAAATGCTGGCCATTTGTTTGAATAATTATGATGTGAAAGTAGCATTTTTAGTTCTAGTTTCCCCTCGAGGGCTTTGAAAAGGCGGGGGTGTGTTTTCAGTGATATTTGATACCTTTTAAGTTAGGATTAAAAGTTGAGAACTGTTGCCAAAAGGTATCATAATGGATTCCCCAGAGGGAACACTTTTTTCATCATTGAGATAAAGACGCTCTCTTTGATCAGGACAGAAACTTCTTTTAAGATGCTACTTATTTTGCAGCTACTTTAGGATTTTAAAATGATGACTCTCCTGAGGCTGGTTTATGGTCATCTGGTTTTGCTTGGTTTCTGTTGGGTGCTGTGGTCAGGGTCAATGTGGCTTCATGAAGTGGACTGTGTAGCCTCAGATCTTTCTCTCTGCTCTGGAATAGCTGATAACTCCTGGGAAGTTCACAAGATGCTTTTCAGATCGGTTAATTGTATCTTAAATTTCTTCTGTGGTTAGTAATAGAGTCACATGTTAAATTTCTTCTGATGTCGATTCTGGTAGTATTTCCGGAGAACACCTTTATGGGAAATCTTCAGCCATGTGCTGTGGAGCAGCCCGTCTTAATCTCCTGTTGCTTCTGTTCTTACCTCAGTTTCGATGTTGAAGCTTCTGATTAGACAGGGTTAGAGAGGCTGTCCTTCCCTCCTCAAGCTTCAGCACTGATCAGCTCCTGGAGACTGCTCTGTGCCTGTCCCTGTCCCGCTAACCCGTCCGGTTACTGTAAACCAGTCACACCATCAGTAGTTCACCTAGAAATACTTCAGAGTCCCTATGTCTACAGAATATAGGACTCTGAAGAATAATGAAGATACCGCCGCCTACCCACAGCATTAACAGTACACACTGAATATCATCAAGGGACATTTCATGTTCAGGTGTCCCCAGGCCACTTCCACTGGCAGGCCTTGTTTGTGCCCACGCAGGACAATTGGTTGGTTGGCGTCTCCTGTGTTTCTATCCTCCTTCTGCCGCCACCTCTTTCCCTTTAAGATTTCTCATTTCTAACTTCCCACTTGCCCATTTTTCTCTTGATTAGATTTGTGGAAGTTCATCTATTTTCTCTCTTTCTCATTTCTATGTTTGTTCATTTTCTCGTGTTTCTTGATTGTACTTCACAGGGTTCATCTGCGGAGCTTTTTAAGAAACCAAACATCACATTGCATTGGGTCTGACACGGTTCTGTCTGCTCCAAACGTTTGTCTTATTCCACTTTGGCTCCCTAGAGTCCCTTCCAGCCTCCCCAGACCTGTTACCTCCCCATCTCGTGTCCTGGCTCACCTCACGGTGTGTGCAGAAGCTGAGGCTGACTTTCCAGTAGCTTTATTTCTGGGTCCTGGGTAAGGGCCTGTGGGGGACGGGAAGCCCACCCTGTGGCTCCTCCTTCCCACACGCAGCCCACACAGCATGAGCTGCGGGCCGGCCTTCAGTGGCGGGGACTTGCTGGTGGCTGGAGTCACCTCACCTTCAGACCTGGGCAGGACCGGGGTGGTTAGACCCAAGAGCCACAGCAGCACATTTGCCCTGAACCTTCTCCTGGCCACAGCCTTTTCAGAGAAGTCCTGCGCTTCCTTTCCAGCCTCTTCAGAGTTCCTGTGGAGGCTGAGGTCAGCCAGGACCTCCCAGGAGGGCTCCAGGGAGACCCCATCGTCTACAGAATGTCCGTCCAGCCCCCCCCCCCCAGACCCCCAAGTGAGCCCCTCAGCATCTCTCAACACTCAATCCCTCCTCAAAGCTTTCTGCTCGCTGGCCAGAGCCGAGTGCTGGTGGGAGTCTCTGTCCATGGAGCGTCCACCCACCCCTCTGTTCTCGGTGCCGTCCACGTTTGCCCTTTCAGCACAGATGTTCTTGGACTGTAGTTTTCTGATCTGATATTTTGGAGGCGCTGCCTGCATGTGCTCCATGAGGGTCGGCACACGGTTTCCTGATCACTCATTCCTCATTTCCCTGGTAAACAGTTTCAGCTTCCAAGGCCATCGATTTCAGAAGTGCTCACCTTCCTCTGTGCCACCCCTCGAGGCTGTTTCCTTCAACATTTCTGAATGTTTTATTCCACTTCCAGTTTCGAGAGTTTTATTCCAATTTCAACTCACCTTTCTCAGAAGAAGCACCTGCCTAGGCGCGATGACGGCCTGCAGGGAGACGCCCGGCCTGCCTGCCTCCCGTGGCGGTGCAGCAGCCGAGGACAAGACTCACGGCGGAAGACAGAGAGCAGCAAAGGGGCAGGGAACCTCAGGGACCCCAGTGAGACCCCAGAGCGAGGTCCGACTGCCACTCAATCAGAAACGACAGGGACCAAGGGAAATGCCCAATGGCCATTAATTCTTCTCCCCACCTGCTGCTCAGAGCCACATTTCCAGGGACCGGTGTTCGGAAACTGCCAGAATGGCTGTGGAAGACCAATGCACCTGTCACCTCATTTACAAAGACCTCAGTGTCCCCAACACGGCCACTGCCCCACATGCGTACTAGACCCTGGGGGCCTCTGCTTGGCGAAATCTAACCCCCACCCAAATCCCGTCTCTGACAGGTGGGTTTTCATCTCCTGGCATCTGCTGCACTAGAAGGCTGACCAAGAGAGCTGAGAGGGCAAGTAGGAACGGCAGCCGAGGGAGCCGATGGCAAGTTCCCTGCACCAGGCAGGGTCGCGGATGGTGGAGCCGCGGCACCCACAGCCCCGTCTGGAGAGCCTTCGCCCGCCCCGGCCTCTGCCCAGGAGAGGGTCTCCCTTTGTACCAAGGAAGGATAATTACAAAAAAAATATCACAATTCCTTTTTGCAGTAACTCTGGGGTTCTTCTTGACTGTCTTCTTCCATAGAAATTTATATTCAAATAAAATGTGTTACCCGAAATCTCTCCCCAAGCTGTCCACGTGAGAACTCACCACACCCACTGTTGGTTTTTTTTTCCAGTTTTAGTCTCTGAGTGAAAATGCAAGGGTGTGGGGAGACAGGAGGGGAAATTCTGATCAGCAACGTGAAAAGAGAGTGCGGCACAGGTCCTGGCGGGTGCAGATCCTGGTGCCTGAGCTAAGAACAGGATCTGTGTAGGGCTGGCTCTCAGGTAAACCAATCGACCTGATTAGGCATTTGGGACAAGTTACAATAATCAGAATTCTATAGGTTGTGTTCTATGACAATAAAATCACAAGGTGATTCATTTGCATATTAGAAGAGATCTCTCTTTTTTTTTTTTCCTTGATAGAACTTACATGTAGCTTTTCAACAAATAGTGCTGGCACAACTGGACATCTACGTACAGAAGAACGAAATTTGGAATCTACCTCACCGCCTACACAGAAACAAACTCAAAATGCATCCATGGCCTAAATGTGAGAACTAAAAATGAAAGATATACAATGACCACGTGAAATGAGAAATTTGAGAAATGCAAGTCAAACCACAATGAGCTGTATTGCACGCCCACTGGGAGAGCTAGGGAGAAAAAAGGCAGTGGGTGATGAATGTGGACGAGCAGTGGGGACACCGGACTCTCGTTCCCTGCTGGTGGGAACTTCACTGAGGTGGCTGCTCTGGAGCACAGCAGGGTGATTCTTCCAGAGGTCCTATGTGGCATCACCACGTGACCCCGTAACCCAAGCCCATGGGTACTGGAAACATGTGGGCGCCCAAGGACTTGCACACAGGAGCTCATAAGAGCATTGCTCAGAATCGTAAAGAGGGGAAAAGGTCCGCAGCACAACGGCTGATGAATCGACCTTCAGAAGGCGCCTTCCGTTCACTATAAAAAGGAGTGAGGTTCCAGTACGTGGTGCCAAACGTGGGTGAATCTTGAAAATGGTATGTTAAGTCAAGGACGCTCCCAAGGTACTACAAACTGCATGACTCCGTTTCTGTTTCCAGTCCATACCAGGCAAGCCCGTCAGGAAGAGCACAGGTCAGTGTTGCTAAGGGCCTAGGAGAAGGGTGGGGGGACACTGCTCATGGGTGCAGTTTTTCTTTTGGGGTGATTCAAATGTTCTACTAACATGAGAGAATCACTGAGGTCGCACGACTCTGTGAGCACCCAGAGAAACACTGACTGAGCACTCCAAAGGGGAAAATGTTGTGCTAAGTGAATTAGACCTCCAAAAAACTGCTATTTTAAAAAGTAGTGAATGAAATCATTATTCCAATTTAACCCAAGCACTGCTCACTTAGCACAGATTATTTATGGTCTGCTTATTGGGCGCACTATAGTCCTGACTTCAGTAAAGAGTCTGGAAATGAAAAAAAGAAAAAAAAATTGGAAATTCTAAATTAGTTTAAAGAAAAACAGCTAAAATAAAGCAGAAGAAAGGGGGTGATGTAGGTAAAAGCAAGAAATGATGAGTTAGAAATTTTAAAGACAGTAGGTATCATAAATTCAAGTCTAGTTCATTGAACGAAATTCAACAAAGCAGACAGCCCTGCTTAAGAAGATAAGGGAGAAAACAAAACAAACAACAATGGACAATGACTGAAACAAAGGAAGTTTTAAAAGCTATGAGCAGTTCATCTCGGATCAAGAGGGAGTAACAAGATCCAGGCTTCCCTGTAAAGTACTCAAAAACTGAACACGAGAGACCAATGTTTCCAGACACTGGCCAATCAACAGCTTGGTGTTACTATCGTGGCCAGTTTCCTGTTGTTAAAATGAAATGCCTGAGGCCAGGAACTTTAAAAAGAAAAGGGGTTTATTTAGCTCACAGTTCTGGAGACCGAAAGTCCAAGATCAGGCAGCCTCACTGATTTGTCCTCTTGTGAGGGGCCTCTTGGCTAGGTCACCACACCACATCATTGCAGATGGCATCGTGATGGAAGCATGCACAGGAGACAGAGAACGCATGGTGAGACAGGAAGCCAAGTGTGCGGAGGAGTCAAGCTCATTTAAAAATTTTTTTTTTCAGTTGTTGATAGACCTTTATTTCATTTATTAATATGTGGTGCTGGGAATCGAACCCAGTGCCTCATATAGGCCAGGCAAGCGCCATACCTCTGAGCCCCAGCCCCAGCCCCCAGGCTCATTCTTGTATATAAATTTACTCTCGAGGGAACTAACCAAGGTCCCAAAGGAGCCACGTGAATCCCTCCCCAAGGCAGCACCTTAATGACCGACCCACTTCCCTACCTCTCGCACCACACTGGGGACCAAACTTCCAACACATGAACCTCTGGGTGACAAACTACAACCAGGCCACAGCAACTATGATCCCTGTTATGGTTTGCATGTGAGGTGTCCCCCCAAAGCTCACATGTGAGACACTGCAACAGGGTCCAGAGGAGAAATGATTGGGTTGTGGAAGCCTTAACCCAATCAATGCATCAATCCCCTGATGGGATTACCAGGTAGCTGAAGGCAGGTGGGATGTGGCTGGAGGGACATTGGGGGCGTGGCTTTGGGGTATATATTTGAATCTGGTGAGTGGAGGCTCTCTTTCTCTCTCTGCTTTCTGGTCTTCATGTGATCTGTTTCCCTCTGCCACACTCTTCCGCCATGACGTCCTGCCTCACCTCAAGCCCCGAGGAATGGAGTCGGCTCACTATGGACTGAGACCTCTGAAACCGTGAGCCCCTAATAAACCCTTCCTCCTCTACAGATGTTCTGGCCGGGGCCTTTAGTCACAGTGGTGGGAAGGCTGGCTGAAACAGCCCCTGAGTATGGGCAGACAAAGGACAAACTCTGTGGATGCCAGCTTTCTATCCAGAGGCCTTGCTTAGACCATAGATGTAGAAGTGGCATCTACAAATGGCACAGTGGCCTCAGTGAGTGGAAGGGACAGAGGTCAGAGTCCAGGAAGGCTGGAGCTGTGAGAGGCTGTCGGGCAGAATTCCACAGAAGAGGGAGCTACCCAGAGAAACAGCTGTAGACATCTGCAGAGGGCATCTGGGATATGAGACTGTCAGGCTGCCCTTGTGTGGACTGAACCTCAGTAAAGAGGTGCAAAGAGTGGTCAGGGGGCTGGAAGCTGCCTGAGGACCAGGCCGCAGGGGGATGCACTTGACCCTGGCCAGGTGGAGTGCAAAGGCCTCAGGTGCAACCTGCAGCGGTCACCCAAGAGCCCGGGGCAGCCAGGCCGTGTTGCTAGGACTGAGCCCCTGGTGAGGGACGCCTCCACAGACCTTCCCAGGAGAGCTAGAGCAGGGGCCTCGCAGGCAGCGGCCAGGCCTGGGATACCTAACTGCCCTCCCAACCAGGGCCCACCACTCCCCAATGGAAACGGCATAACCAGGCCCTAAAACGTCACTTACAGTGTCCTGCCCAAAATTATAAGGACCCATAGAAGTGCCCATAAACTAGGAGAACCAACCATCATTGGAAGAAAATCGGAAATGACGGAGGTGATGGAATTGATAACAGGTGTTATAATTGTACTTAAGTATTTCAAAGAGAACCAAAACACAGTGAGGAGGGAAATGGAATAAATTCAGAAGAGCTAAATGGAACTTCAAGTGATAGAAAGTTCAATAGCTGAATTCAAAAATATAGTGGAATGAAGAATAGTAGATTAGATACTACAGAAGAAAAGACCCATGGACTTGTAGGTATGGCAGTAGAACTAGTCCACAATTAAGCAGACAGAAAAAGACTGGGGGAAAAATGGGCCCAGCTTCAGTGATTTGTGGCAAATAGAAAGTTCATGTAACAGAACAGCAGTTGAAATCCCCCCAAAGAGACAGAAGAATATTTAAAAAAAACAAAGTCTGAAGTGTTTCCAAATTGAAGAAAATTATAGCTAGAGATCTAAGAAGCTCAACAACCCAACATAGCCTGGAAGCTCACACACACACACACACAGAGACACATGCACACATGCACATACACATGCGCACACATGCACACACATACACACATGCACACACATGTACACACACATACACATGCACACACGCACACACACGCACACACATACATGTACACATACACATACACATGCACACACATGCACACACACATGTACACAGAGACACATGCACACATACACACACATGCACACATGAAGAAACATCATAATCAAATAGTATAACCCAGTGATAGAAAAATTGTTAAACACACAGAGAGAAAATGAACACGTGCAAAGAAGACAGAAGAATGACTGCAGACCTCGAATCACAGAAGACAAAGGAAGACAAAGGGAAGGTGCGTTAGTGGGTGAGCAGACAGAGAATAAGCCCTGTGAACCTACATTCATGGGGAATAATCCTTGGGAATGGAAATAAAATCACTTAAAAAACCCCACAACTGCAGGAATTCATTTCCAGGAGACCTACACTGTGATAAACTTAAATCAAACCCTTTAAACCACAGGGATGGGAACCCTACGAGCACCTGGAACTTGGATCTGCACTGAAGAACACAGAGGGCAGAGACTGGAAAATGTATGGGTACAGATAAAAAAAAAATTCTTGAAGAGTTGCTTGAATATCTAAAGCAAAAAGAATCAAGCATGGACTCCAAATTATATGAGAAATAAAATGATGGTAATACTAGCACAACAAAAGGCAAAAATAGAAGCCTAATATTCTAAGAATTGTGCATCATACATGAAACAACATAAGATTACTCATGTATGAGCTGTGATCCATTAAAGTTGGAGGCTATCAACCCTGAGTAACCATTTTTAGAATAAAACAGAAGAGAGTTGTATCCAAGAGTATATAGATAAGATAGTAAAAATTTGATACATCTACTCTTAAAGAAAATTGAAATTGAAGGAAAATAAAAACATAGTTAAAAACAAACAAACAAACAAACAAAAAGAGTAGATGTCAACCATGTTGGTCATTATGCAACAGATAGTGGTTGATACTCCAGTTAAAAGCATCTTGTAAGATTAGAAGAAAGACAAATCTATGTGATCTATGGGAAATCTACTTTGAACATGACATCAGAGGGTAAAGGTAAAGGATGGAGATGAATGTATTGTGCAAACAATGGCTCAAATAAAGCAGGACTGGCTCTGTAAACATCAGAGAAAACAGCCATCATCACGTGCTATGAACAGGGGCGAAGAAGGACGTTTCACAGCGACAGAAGTTCAGGTCCTCACAAAGCCCTGACTCCTCACGCACACAAGAAATGAAGCAAAAGCTAATGGAGAGAAGAACAGGCAAACCAACAGTGTGGTTGGGAATGTCTGCAGACCTTTCCGTCTAATTGTAGAACAAACAAACAGGAGCTCAATGGTGATTAGAACTGACTTGAACATCACTGTTTACCACGCGGGCCGGCTGACGCAACAGGGTCCACAGTTGACAAGCAGACCCTGGGCTGCGCCAACAACGAGCCTCGACAAATGTAAAAGGATTGAAGTCATATAAAGTTTATGTTATGCCCCACGAGAGAATTTAGTAAGTCAACAACAGAGGGATCTGGAAAAGCCCCAAATATTTGGAAATTAAACAACATACTTATAAATAACCCACGGGTCAAGGAAGATGTCACAAGAATTAACAGTGTTTTGAACCAAACAAGAACAAAAATATAGCATATTAAAATCTGTAGGATACAGCTAAGAAGAGATCTTCGTCTCACTTTAAGAGGCTAGAAAATAAAAAAGAAACTGTTTAATTCCTAAAACAGGAAGGAGATTATATAAAAGTAGACGCAAGGAAATAAAAATAACTGAAAAACAAATCACAATGATAATGTCCCTGATACCTACTGCTAGTTCTTTGGTGTGAAAATCAATGGAATCCATGAACCCCTAACCAGACTTATTAGAGAAAAAGAAGACGTCAAGTATCTGCTCAGCAACAGTCTGCAGACCTATGGCCCTAAGAAGGCCAGCAAGGAGGCTGGAGGCTGTGAGCACCCTCATTCCAATCACTTGGGCAAATGAAACCAATTCTGTGTTACACTGTTACTTTGTTTGCATTAGAGTGTCTTTGTTCTTAGGAGAGACTTGCAGAAATGCGTAAAGTGAAACTTACTTTCAAATTGTTGAGCAAAATGCTCACAATTGTGAATCTAAGTAGCGAATACAAACATGTTCAGAGGATCCTTGTTTTACTTTTCCTGTAAAGTTGTTCAACCTTATTTGCATGTTCCATAGCCTCGTATTTAGCCAACTGTGGATGAAAATGTGCGAGAAAAAAATTGTCTTTGTGCTGAATATATCCAGACTTTTTTCCTGTCATTGTTCCTGAATACAGTAACAAAATGTATTTGTATAGCATTTACATTGTATTAGAGAATATAGATAATCTAGAGATGATTGAAAACATACAAGAGGATGTACCTAGGTTCTGCACAAATCCTGGGCCATTTTATGTAAGGGCCTTAAACATCTTTGGATTTTGGTATCCATGAGGGGTCTTGGAACCAGTACCCTGTGGATGCTGAGGAATGATTGTATCTAAAGATTTCTGTAATGCAAGAGATACGGAAGGCCTTCAGGCCAGGTGTCATTTGAAATGGGGTTGGGACAGGACGGACAGTCCTGACCTTCTCACTCGGAGGACAGGCCTGACCGTCCCTCTGTCAGGCCCTGGCTTCTTGGTGGTGTTGGTGGGCTGTGGAGCTTCCCACAGGCTGAGCAAAGACAGAGGAAGGACCCAGATCCCCGGGCGCCAGTCTTGCCATTTCCTAGCAGCCAAGGCCAAGGGCAGATTGAGCAGCTTTGTTTAGTGCTCCAGCTTCCAGGAGTCACTCGGAACATGCCCGGAGCAGGCAGCGTGGGGCCTGCTTTGTAAACAGAGGCTTGACCTATTTAACTCTCCCAGAGGTTGGAAAGAGAAGCCTGACTCAGGGACATGGAACTGCGGCGGCCTAATTGGATACTAATCACTCACCAGGGCTCTGTTTACCCAAACCTCCCGTAAACGGAGCTGCGCGTGGAATGAGAGCAGCCTCAAGAAGCTGGACCCCGCTAGGAAAATGGTCAGCCTCAGAGGCCTTTCTTCAGAAACGCTGCTGCTAATTGCACAAGAATAAACAATAAGGAGTTGGTGAATTCCACACCGAGGCACTCAGAACGGCTTTCCTACGGTTCTGAGGGGCTCTTTGGAAATATTTGGAAATTTCTAGGGATGATAGATGTTCTAAAGCCAAGTTGGATGAAATAAGGAGAATTCCCCAACTTTTGATGAACGTCTGCGTTGAGAATCTGTAAAGACAACTCTGTGGGTTTCCCGGTTGGTGTACTGTGCCAGGGAAAGGGCTGGGCTCCTGGGAGTTTGCTGTGGCCTCCGGGCTTGGCTGGTGCCTGGTGTCCAACAGCCCTTTTGGTCTCGGTGCAGACGTGAGAGGGCATGAGAGGTGGGAAGAGCGCCCAAACCTCCCGCACAAAGATGAGCCTGGAGGACATGGAGTTGGGGGGACGAAGCTAGGCACAGAAGACAAGTGCCACGTGTTCTTGCTCAAAGTGGAAACCCAAGAAGTTGATTTCATAGGAATAGGGATTAGAGCGGTGGTCACTAGAGGTTAGGGAGGGTGGCAGGAGGGGGTCAATGGATGGCAGGTACCAAAATACAGGAACATGGGAGAAATAGTTCAATGTTCCTTAGCACACCAGAGTGACTATTGTTTACAACAATGTTTTATGCATTTACGTAGGACTGGAGCTGGAGTTAGGAAATTCCCAGTACCAAGAAATGATAAATGTGTAAGGATCTCGAAATGCTGATGACCTGGGTTTCATCACCACACAGTGTACATGTAGCAAATCACCACCCCGTACCCCCTAAATGTTTACCACTGTTCTGCATCGGGAGTCATCACCACTTTGCAGGGAGTCATCAACCCCCTTCTTCTTGTCTTGTGGACTATTGGTTTGGCACAGGGAGCATCTCCATCACTTGGAGCTGTTATAGACACAGGCATAAAACTAGGGTGGGGGAGACAAAATACATGGCTGAGATTTTTTTTCAGCCAGCAGCATGACCCATAACAAGAGGCGTGGGAAGACTTTGTGCTTGGGAGACCTGGGCTCTCACCAGCTTTCTGCTGGCTTGTTGAGGACCAGCGTGGGCTCTGGAGGAGAGCGTTTCTGGCTTGGCAAATGACCTCTTCTTCTCCTTGCCAAGTTGTTGAAGCCCTGGGACCTCAGATCCCTGGCTGCAAAATGAGATAAAATGCTGCGCACAGAGGTGACAGCAGAGCGGTCCCCAGGCTCCTGGCACCTATGTGTTTTTGCTCCTCTGGGAGCTTCTATGTGACAAAAGGTTGTACCCTGAAAAGACAGCGCTCACTGCACTAGTGCCAAGATTGTGCAACGGAAGCTGCTGTTGCCCAAACTGAAAAGATTTTGCTGGAGATGGAAAAGGAGTCCTCCCAGCTTTAATTTGACCATCTTTGATCGGAAGGACTTCAATTCAGTGAGTCCCCAATGGCACGTACATTGTCACTGCTGAGTGTATGCTCCCTCTGTAAACTGTCCATGGCCACAAGCTGCACCTATTCTTTACCCAGCCTACTCCAGGCACAGCGGGGTTGACCAGAGGTGGCAGCTACTAGCTTTGCCACCACTGTCCTCTGGGAAGATGGCAGGACAAGGTACTCTTGGTCAAGTATCAGAAGGAGGCTCCCCCTGACAGTAGTCTTATCTTTCAGGGGCCTTACGTGGAACTCTCCAGGGCAAAGTCCAATATAATAGCCTTGATTTCTTTTCATTTCCAGGTGTGATAAATGATTAAGAATGGAACCCCAGGATTCAGAACTTCTGGTGAACATCAGCAAGAGGAAAATAACAACCCAGTTTTAAACTGTGTCTTGAGCAGGAGCTTCACAATGGGACACGGATGAGGTGAGGTCCTGTGGCCCCCCACAGCCTGACGGTAGAGGTGAGCTTTGCAGGAGTGCAGCCATGCCCGTTCAGCCACATGTGACTGTGACTGCGAATGCTCTACATCCCCTGTGGAATCTGAGACTGGGGACAAGACCACATGGCCCACAGAGCCAAGGACAGTTACTCTCAAATCCTTTACAGAGGAATCTGCTGGTCCCTGCAACAGAAGATATCCAGGTGACTGACCCTCACATGAAAAAATGCTCCAATGTGATGAGCCACTGTAAAAAGAAAGGCTGGACCCCAGAAGGACACATTCACTCTCCTTTAAGATGGCCCGACAGCAGTCCTGCAGCACCAGTGGCTCCAGTGCCAATAGGCCGTTGGCAAACAGCTGGGAGTGTCTGCCTGGCTCACCACACCTGTCCCTGTGGCTCAGCAGGTCCTGGGTAGATAGACATTCAAGGAAAGTGAGGGTCTCGGGCAGCAGGAGACATGGGGGGAATGACCTTAGCACCTGGGCTTGTCACAGCCCCACACCTGACACACCCAGATGTCCACCATCAGAGGAACGGATTAAATAAAGTGTGATATGTGCACACGAGCGAACGGCAGATAGCAACGAGAAAATAAATCTTAGTTTCTTGCAAGAACATCTCACAGAATTAATGTGGACAAAACAAAACAGGCCCTGGGGAGTACGTAGTGTGCTACAGCTTCCACATGAAGTTCAGTAACATGTAGGAGTTAACATGGCAGCCGCTGCAGGACTGCAGGAATAAGTGGATGGGAGGGACTCCAGGGGCGAGCTGGGGGCTTGGATGCTCTGGTTCTTGTTCCAGGAGTCATTGAAAGGTACAGCCGAGATTTGACCAAGGTACAGTGTTGTGCCTCAGTGAAATCCAAAAATATGGATTAAAAAAGACCCTGCACTTTGGACTTGAACCTTGTGCTGGGAGTGGAAACTAGAGAATCATGTTTAACTAGAATTTGAGCTGTAACACCTTATAAGTGTTGCATTAAAAAGAATTAAATTTCAGAATTTAATTCTGCATTTGTAATAAACTGTGGTATAACTGTGGTCTCCCTGGGAACCCTGCCCTGATCTCTGATGGGTGTTTGACAGACATCCACCGAGGAGACCAGCCATCCCGGCTGCGGCCCCTCCCTGTACCTGACTTCCACATGCGGGTGGCAACTGGTTTTCCTGTTCGCCCAGTGATGGATGTGACAGGAGGAAGCACCCTCCAGAGTCCAGGAGAAAGCACAAGGGACGAGGTTAGATTTCTTGATCCACTCACACCTGCTCTTGCAGAGCAACCTCTGGGGGTCACCCCATCATACCAGGAAACGCATCCCACACTGTGAGCTACAGGTGCAGGTGGACACAGGGTTGCAGCCCAACAAGTGACATGGATGCAGCTGCCCGGTTGGTCTCCAAGGCAAGCAAGGCAAGGGGGTATATCCCACCAGGTGACCTGGACCCTCCTCTGCTCTCAATTACATCCTGCCTCACCTGTGCTGGGATCCTGGGTCCAGTAGGATCACAAGGTCCTGGAGGGCTGGAGCCACATCAGAATGTCCTTGGACCTGCCCCCCATCGTGGCCACCTGTGAGGCTGCTCCCCCCAAGTGCTCAGCTGACCCAGCACACAGATCAGCTGGTCCCACAATGCCTTTTCCAGGGGCTTTGACTTATAGTCACCTCTATGGAGAGGGGAGAGGGGCGGCAGGGATACAGGATCAGATGCAGAATCCGCATCCCTCCATGGACGGACCCCAGTGAAGACACCTTCCCCAGGATGGAGGGGGACAGAGTGTGGCATTCACCTCCCCAGGAGGAATGGATCTCCAGCTGACCTGCACCTGTGCTGTGAGAGCAGGGCCCCCTGCTGAGCTGCAGAGCAAACCAGAGGCCCTAGTGCCTTCCCCAGCACCTGCAGCCACCCACCTGGCTCAAACAGCAAAGGTCACACCAGCCTCAAGTTCACGGGACATCCCCCAGAGGCTGCTTCTAAAATAAATACCTACAGGAGGGGCTGGTCTGTTCTGTTTTCTTACTATTGGTGCCTCCTTGACAACGTGGAGAGCAGATCTCAGCCACACTAAATGTTGCTTTTAATGACAGGCTCAGGCTTGGTGTGTGTGTGGCACTGTATGAGATTCCTGTGGCTGCTGTAACAAACAAAGCTCCACAGACTGGGAGTCTCGACACAGCAGAAGTTTGTTCTCTCACAGTCCTGGATGTCGGAGTTCTGCCTGCAGTCAAGGGGTGGCAGGATGGCTCCTCCAGAGAGCTCTAAAGGCCTTTGGGACTCTCTGGCACTGCTGGGAGCTGCCCACCCCTGGTGTTCCCTGGCTTGTGGCTGCTACACTCTGCGCTCCCCTTCTGTCCTCTCGTGCTTCTTCCCTGTGTCTTTGCATCTCTGTTTTCTCTCTTTGTAAAGACAACAGTCTTTGAATTTAGGACCCTCCTAATCCAGTATGACCTCATGCCAACAGTCACACCTGCAAAGACCCCGTTGTCACACAGGGTCACTCTCTGTGGCTCTGGGAAGGACATGGGTTTGGGGAGAGGCTATTAACCCAGCACACGGAGCACCCAGCGCTGGCTTGCCCCTCCCTCCCGCCCTTTGCAGTTCTGCAGAGACCCCTGTGACCACACCACAGGACGTGGAGGAGCATCGGGCCACATGTTCTGGGGAGAGGGGCTGGACCAAGGGAGGATGGGGCTGGGGTGCTCTCCCTGGTGACTCCCTCTCCAGTCTCTACGGTCCTCCCTGCCACGGGGGTCCTGTCCTCCCCCTCAGGTCTGGATGATTCCTGAGCCAACGTCCCCCACACAGGGTCCTGTGGGGGCCAGCACTCTTCCCCTCACCCGACAGCATGGGGTCCAGTGGAGCCACAGCTCTGGGAGGGTGAGGAGGGCTGTGCTTCCAGGAGGGGACACTGGGGGGTGCTGGGCAGGAGCAGGCGGCTGGGCGCTAGCCCTGGGCTCCAGACCCGCAGCACACAGGTCTCCTGGGGCTTGGCCTCCCTGCAGGACAAGAGGTCTAGCTGGGCTTCGTGTCAACTGGTGGCAGAGACCTGGAGATTCAGTCATCGCAACTGTGTTCTGGAAGCTGAAGACAGGGCGAGGGCTTTGGAGCCCAGCTGGGGATTCCTCACGGACATTTTCTATCAGGCATTTGGGGGACGGTCCCGTCTCTGCTTGGGGAGTCAAGTGCCCCCAGACAGGTGACATTCCACAGACCCTGCTCCCTACTCCCTGGTCTCCCCAGAGTTAGTGGACAGGGTGGCATTCACCTCCCGGGGGAATGGATCCTCACCTCCGACCGTCCTTCCCACACCTGAATGGATGGGTGAGAGCCGCCTTCTTTCCTTATCCTGTCAGAGAACCTGCTGGTGCTGGGTGGCGGGATGTGGCTTCAGTTGGAAGGTTCTGTCTGGTGGCAGGAATTAGGTATCCAGGAGGCGCGGGCGTGGAGTTGTCCTTTGCATCAGTTTTCCAATTACTGTATCCATTTGGTTCATCCTAACTGAGATTCAGACTGGAAATTTCATCAGCAGAGAGAACACGAGGGAATATTCAAGAAAAACCAGCCTCAAATCGGCCATGATGGAAACTGATGGTGGAATCCCAGCTGGGGCGTTGGCGGAGGTGCTGGTCAGCTGCTGGGGGGTGCAGAGAGGCAGAGCTCCTGCTCAGGCTTGGTGCCCAGGTGGCCTGAGCCAGGGGTCTGTCCCCTGAGGCGCCTCCTGGGGTGCCAACAGCTCCAGGCCCTGGGGGGCTCCCTCTGGAGCAGGTGCACCTCTTCTCTCCTGGCCCAGCAGAGCCCACGGAGGGAGGATTCTCCGGGCTCGGGGCTGTCTGGGGCCCTCCAGCCTCTGCCCTGTGGGCCTGACAGGTCGGCGGCCAGGGCTGGGCCTTGGACTCCTTGTCCTGGGTCAGTTTGGGAGTAGGCAGACCACCCCACAGAGAGAAAGCCAGGGCAAACAGGTGGCCTCAGAGGAGAGTCTGGTCGACCCGGGAACAGGGTGAGTTCCTACTGCTATTGTCCCAGGAGGTAAGAGCCCCCAGCCCTCTGCTGAACCCTGAGCTGGAGCCTTCATGTTCTGATGGCTCTGTGACTCTGCACAGAGCATTCCACCTAAGGGACTCGGCTCACTGGGAGGATTAGCACCAATTAGGCCAATAGAATCCTTTCATGAGAATGGGGCAGAAACGCAGCTCAGATTGGCTTAAGCCTGCAGGGGGCTGACTGTCTTGGGTGATTTATAGACTAGGGTATGGGGCTTCAAGAGCAGGTGGATCAGGGCCTCAGGACTCTGTCCAGTGCTTCCTCTCTGAGAGCTCAGTCCCCAAGGTAGGCAGCTAAAGGGGACAGGATGACTGTGGAGCCCAGGACGACCGGATTCTTGAAGCCTATGATTCCAGAAGGGGAACTTGGACCTGCTGGGGTCTCATGCCCCTCCTGGTACTGAGGGCCTGGAGATTGCTCCTGGGTCAAGGAGGGCAGTTCCCAGGAGACAGAACTGCATCGTCCACCACGGGACAGTTGAGACCAGCTCCAGGTGGGGGGAGTTCCAGGCTCCTGGTGAGCGCGTGGTGCTCAGCAGAAGCTGGAGGAGGAATAGCTGTGACGACAGGAGGAAATACAAGGGCTTTAAAGACCCTTCACACTCACCGGCGCACAGCTCTGAAAGCTGAAAGCGTCACGTCAGTAAGGACAGCAGAGGGCTGGCAGGTCCCCTGGCCCAGCCCACAGCCCGCTGCTCTGGAGCACAGAGCTGCCTGCCGCGGGGACCTCGCAGCCCTTTGTTTTTGGCCTTCAATGCCAAGGTTTCCTGGGGAGACCAGAGCGACTCTCCAGGTCCAGGTAAAGGGCAGCTGTCGGAGCAAGGATGTCCTCTGCCAAGCTGGTCACCAACGCCTGCCTCTCAGGAGAACCAGAGGAAGCAGCGTGGCCGGAACCACCTGTGACATCCAGTGCTGTCCCTGTGACCTGAAACTGAGACGGGGGCTGTGTTTTAGTCCCCTGAACCAGAGGCCCCAGGCTGGGTGTCCCTAGAGTCACCAGAGAAGTGACTGTTGGGGTCTAAGAGTAAAGATGGACGGGGAAGCGCATTTGAATTTCCCCGGACTTCCAGCTGGCCGGGAGCCTGGTCCTGAGCTGTTGAATGGAGGCCATGGAAGCGGGATGGCGGGATCCTGTGACAGTTCCAACGGTTTGCGGCTCCTCCTACTGTTTTCCAAGGTGGCTGTGCCAGTCTGCATTCCCACCAACTGCGAGCAAGGGACTCCTTTTCCACACAGCCTCACCAGCACAGTTAGTCTTCTGCCCTCAGCCAGTCGAACAGGGGTGGGAGGGCACCTCACTGTGGACCGGACTGGCATCTCCCCGATGGTCAGTGACGCTGAGCATCTTTTCACACTCCCGTTGGCCATCCACATGTCTTCTCGGGAGAGCTGTCTATTTGGATCAAAACTCTTGACTGCAGGATCTCTAAAATAAAGTGCTGATGAGTCTTGACTGGTGCTAGCCAGAAGAACTTGATTCTGGGCCAGTTCCTGTAACTTACAACAGCAAGGGTAGACAGCAGT